ATGAGGAGCAGGCTGGAAAGGGCCTGGGGTAGCCCTGACCTCTTCCAGTAAAATCTCTTTTAGAACCTGACATTAATTAGTGATTTTTTTTTTTTTTTTTTGATCTTAGATTGTAACCTGTTCTTTAGGAGCGTTTATGTTTTGTTTTATAAGACACAGCTGAATCCAGTGAATCCCAAACTTATTCAGAGGGTGTGGGTGGTGGTGTGTCCTGTTTGTTTGTGGGTGGGTGGATTGTTTTAAGATGTTCCTCAGGAATCTGTTCTGGTGGAAGTTTGCAGATGTAATGAGGCATTTTGTTCCAAAATGTGCTGTGAAAAATAGTTTGAACTTCTTTCTGCATGAAATCTGTCCTGAAGTTTGGTATACTTGGATAGCTCTTTCCCTAAGTGCAGAGCAGACTTTTTTGTAAACTGCTGACCTATAAATTTGAGACTTCTGAGTTCAGCATTTTTGCACTGTCCTTGCAAGGTGGAAGATAGTTCTCTGTGAAGGTGTGACATTGGGGCACCAGCAGTGGCCTACTTTAGAGACAAGTTTGAAAATATTTAAGGTTTTATGACAAATCATGAGACATTGATACTAAAAACAGCAGAAAATGCTCTTATGTGGGAACAGAGTGGATTCAGGAATGTGATAGGAAAAATTTGGGCATTTTGAATGACAGAAATCATGGAATCATAGAGTGTTAAGGTATTGGAAGGGTCCTTAAATATCATCTCATCCCAGCCTCCTGCCATGTGCAGGAACTTCTCCCACTAGACCAGGTTGCTTAAGGCCTTATCCAACCAATCCAAATATTTGCAAGTAATGGCACAGTTACTTCTAAAGCTCTTTTTTGGTACTATTATATTTAATCTAGTCTTTGTGCTGCTGAGTAAGGTTTGCTGAATTTGGATTTGGACACTTCAGAGATGCCTAATGGATATTGTAAACTCTCAGCCCTGCAGTGGACTGGCAGAATGGATCCATGTGGATGAAACTGAATCGTTCTGTTTTGAGTCTTTTGTGTGCCTGTGGGTTTGGTTTGCTTGGAGTTTTTTTGGAGAGTGTTTTTTAGGGGTCTTTTGTGCCCCTGTCTCTGCTGAAAAGGCATCCACAGTGGTATAGGACAGAGAAATGCACAAAATGATATTTTTGTTAAAGGGTAAGATTCCACAGAAGTAAATAAAAATGAATTACCCCTTATTTTGCTGCTAAACTTTGTAGGTCTGGACCTGTGATCAGGGAATATGGGGTGGTCTCAGAAAGAAGAATTGGCAATCCAAGGGCTGATCCAAACCAGTTAGAGCCATAGAAACCTGGTAAAGCCGTATTTTATTCAGTGAGTTGAGTTTTAAAGCTGATGAAATTAGTGCTCAACTTTGAATTACCTGCTGTGGGGTTTTCCTTATTAGCAGAGTTCTAAAGAAGGAACTGTATTTATTTATTTGCTGGATATTTAGAAGTCAGCTGTAGGTTTTTTCTGCTATTTTAGAAGCCATTTCATACCCCATGGAGAGATGTGCAGGAGCAAATATTCCTGTGCATTTTGTGCCATGCTGCAGGGGGCCTTCTTCCCTTATGTAGTGTCCTGTATGAGATTTTTGCTGTCCTGGTGACATTTTAATTTGTTACTATTTCCCAATCAAAAGGCCAGTCCTATGCTGGAGTACACAGATGCAGAGTACACAAAGATACACTTGTAATCGGAGTTTTGCAACTGAGTTTATTTCTGTTGTGTTACAAGATCTGCCCTGAAACAGGAGAAGGAAACTTTAGGAATTAAAATGGGTCACTATCCTGGTGAGCTGGTGAGGAATTTCTGTCGGGCAGGGCATGTGATGGTCACTTTATGAGCTGTCACAGCAAAAACAAATCCACCCTCTGCGTGCCAAAGTGAGTCAGGTGCACCTTTCCAGGGTCCCTGCTACCACAGGAAAAACAGGGTGATGAAATGATCATTGGCAATCCTAATCTGCCATGTTGGGGTTATAATAATAATAATAATAATAATAATGATATTTTTTAGCAGGCTTATGTTGTATTCTTAAAAAAGATGGGATTCTTCTTGCTGGCTTTGACTGGCTGTCTCTAAAGTGGGACAGGTTGGCTCTCCCCTGGTGTTCAGGTTGATGTTTCATAGAGGCAGTCTGGGTTTCTGCCTCTGGTGTTTGTCCTGAAACTCCCCTTTCACGTCAGCTCTGCATCTTGCAGTCTTTTCTACCCATCTTTGCATGTGCAGGAGCAATCCAGCGAGACCTCAGCCTCACAAAACCAGGGCACAGCGTCTCCAGAGCTCTGGGAGTGCTGCTCTACTATATTTGGAACCAGCTCTATTGCTTCTATAATAGGAAGGCTTCTGGAAGCTTTCTCCTTCCTCTCGCCCCAAGAAAGTAGCCTTTCAGCTGAGCTTTCATTAATTCACAATCTGCATGGCAAAACAGATGGAGTTTTATAGGCTAAATAATTCAGTTGTGGCTCGTGGGCCGTGTGGCCTCGAGTGTGGTGTGTTCAGGGAGGATTTTTGCCCCATGAGCTGAGGGTGCAGCAGCCACAGACAGCCCCACTGCCAGGGGCTTTGCCACCCCCAGTTTGTCATTCGGGGCACGCGACGGTGCCAAGGGGTGCCAAGGCAGCTTTCTAGAAAGCAGAGTGATGTGTGAGCCCCGTGTGTTTGTCACCAGAGCTGCAGCAGCACTGCCCAGTGAGGGATTTACTGGTTTTGTTTTCCTCTTGGATCAAGCAGAACAAATCTAATGAGCCAGTTCTTAACTTCTTCCCAGCTGAGCAGCGAGTGATGTCCTTGCCCAAATTGTGCAAGGCAGCTGAAACCTTTCAGGAATAGTTGAACAAGGGAAACACTTGTAATATTCTTTTCCCCAATACTCATACAGGGCTAAGAGGGTGCAGCAGAGCTTGTCTTTATTTTCTTTTTCCCTTCTGAGATTTTCCTTTTGAGGGGACAATTTAGTCCTTCCAACTCTTACCCCACCTAGAGAGAAAACACGTGAGCCACAAATGTGGAGCCTTTCATTCTTTCTTGACATGATCTTGGAAGGAAAACAGGTTCTCCCTGTAGTGCTTCATTGGAATAAGCATTTCACACGCTTATCAGTACAGCAAGTAGTGCTGTTTGACAGCAGTGAGGAGTCAAATGTTGCCTTGGAGCCCTGCATGCTCATTTCCCTGCTTCTGAAACACTCTGCACTTTGCCCACTGTGCATTCAGAAACTTTCCTTTCCACTCAAAGGACCTGAAACCCACTTTGCAGCAGACACATTTCCCAGCATGATTCCAGGTGTGCATTGGAAATAGCTGAGTCCAGTCTGAGTTTTCTGCCAGGTCAGTAAATGGGTTGAAGGAGCTGAACTCTTTGGGTTAATTCTGTCCTGGTCCAGCTCCTTGGGAGGCTTCAGGTGAGAAATCAGACAGGGAGGCAGTGCTGATAAAGGGGAAGGTGTGAAAGAATAAACAGGCCCAGCTCCTGGAGTCTTTCCTCATAAGAGAGGTGCTCCAAACCCCTCATTGTCTTTGTGGCCTCTGCTGATTCTGCTTACATGGGAATCTTCAGTTTTCATTTAAATTCCTGCTCTGTCCAGTGGGATCCAAGGATGGGAGGTTGGAGGAGCTTTGGGAAGGAAGGGCTGGAGTGAATTTGGTGGGGAAATGAGCAAAAGGCAATGGTAACCTGGTCCTGCTGCTTTGCCAGCTCTGGTTCCTGGTGCTTGGCAGAAGTGCCATCAGCTGGTTTTGGTGTGAGAATAGACACAGGAAGCTCCCCCACATTAATTCCAGCTGGAGCCCCTGTGGCAGTTCCATTGCCTTTAGATCCAGATCTGATGGACCATCAGAGGGGAAGCTGAGCACACAAGGTTATACGAGGCAAATGATGCCTGTGATGGCTCCTTTGGGGTTAAAAGGCAGTTCTTTAGGTGTTTTAAGTGTGTAGATATTACCTGAAGAATGGTTAAAAAGCCATGGTTGTGTTCCTGTAGGTGTCTGAGAGGCTGAGGACCTGGTGTGTCGCTCACCTCATTTCAGACCTAGCCTGGGAGCTGCTGTGGATCCTTCCCAGTGGGAGTGTTGGCATGAGGAAAGACTTTGTGCCAAAGCCTCTTGCCTAGGAGTGTGTGGTGCTGTTATAGGCGTCCTGAAGGGTGTTTGGGGAGGGAGGGAGGGAAGGATGACTTGTCTGGAGGATGGCAGAAGTGCTTGTGTGGTGAATCACTCTTTTGGAGACAAGGATCATATAAAAACCTAAGATTGAGCTCCATGGTGGGAGAGTGGACATGGAACCCAGTTCTTCCAAGAAAACAAGCACACTTATCTTATTATCAAGCCTCAGCACTGACTTTTTCCACCCTAATGACTGTTTTTGTTATTAACTCCTCTGAGTTCTGCTCTGAAACACTTGCTGCTGCTTCCTTCTGCATCCTGAGTGTGCTGATGCTCTTTGCCAGGCTGATCCAGAGTGACATCCCTATGGAACATCCCAAAGCTTACCCTGCATGGAGGTGGGGTGGTCAAATGTGTTTTTTACACATGTTTTTACCAGCAGGGCAATTGCTGCTCAGATCCAGTCCTGAGGCCATGGCCCCCTTTCCAGATCCAGAAAGTAAATTTTCTGAGAGGATGTGCCCACCCTTTGAACTGGTTTGTTGATCAGTTACTGTTGCTACAGCTAAAACACACTTGCACTTGCAAAAAATATCAAAAGCTGTGGTGAATTGCTATAGAGATGGGGAGACCTTGACTGCAGCCTGGTTGAGTTGATACATTTGTTTTTGTAGGCTGCAGCAGTGCTCAAACCTGGTGATAAGAGGGAATTTTGTGGGACTGTTCCCTGAGCTCCGTCCGCGGCTGAGAGGATGTGATGCTTTCTGCTGCCAAAACCAGAGTCCTTCCCACATCTTGTGCAGAAAGGCATATGTTTGGGGGTGGTTTCAGAGAGGGAGAAGAACACGATTAGGGTTTTAACTTCCTCTTCTGCTTTGTTTCTCTGTGCATCTGTATTTCAGTTTTTTGGGCTGTACCTGACTCTGTGCAAAACTTAACAAATCGGCTGCAGCTCCTTCTGCTAAGGATCAGCCTTGGTACAGAAACAGTGGTAGTTAAAAGGCAGTAAGTATATCTGCTAGCTTAAATGCTGTGGGTTTTTTTTTTCTCTCTCTTTTCCTTTTTTTAATTCACAAGCACAGCTTTTTACTCCTCACACAGTAGGAATTTGTCAGGAGCTTGCTGGCATTAATAGTCTATTTCAGCTCTTTTCTATAGCCCAGCAGCTACAGAGGGGGGGAAAAAGCATGCTTTGTATGGAGCTGTGGTTGGGTCTTTGCTGCAGTGCCCATCTGAACTTGGCTGTGTCTATTTTGTCAGCTTTTGCTTCCCTCTAGTAGTTGCTGGTCCCTTCCTAAACTCACGAAATCCCACCATGAAATGCCTCTGCTTGGATCAGGGTTCTGGCTGCTCCTGACCTGAACCACTTCTCTTGATGGTTTTGCTTCTCAAGCTCTTTACTGCAAAACAAGATATCTTTGGGTTTCAATTCTTTGTCTGGCTTTTTAGCTTTTACTTCTCAATTGATCTCCAGAGGAGTGGAACTAGGACAAAACACGTGGTATTCTTAACCAGGGATCCATGGAGAGGGTGTAAGCTATTGGAAAAGTGAGTGGCATTCTTGAAATGGTGTGGTTGCGTTTATTTGGGTGTGGATATAATCATGCTTCTGTGATACAGTTCCTGCTGAGTTTGAAATGCTAGTGTTAGTAAAGCCAGAAGGAGAGCCAGACAAAAGCTTGGAGAAAAGTCAGAATTTCAGTGCCTCTTAGTGATGGTTCATGGGAAAGTAACGATTTTGTGTTTGATTTTCCTAAAGCACTGGGCATATGCTTTTTTTCCCTGTGAATTACTGTTTGTGAATATGTATCTTTACAGCATGAGAACATCAGAAACACCTGGTTTTGTGCCTAGGTTTCACTCAGAGGTAGGTCCTTGTTGGAGACTCTGGGTAGTCTGATAAAAATGGTATTTAACTACAAAGTTTTAATTTCCGCTGCTGCTGATCATGGCAACCTAATTCCTGGTCTTCCTGAATCCCTGGAGCAGAGGACATGCCCTCCTCCTCCTGCTCTGCCACTGCCCTGCCTCTGTCCCCTCCACCCCACACATTTCTTAGCTTTGTGTAGAGCTCAGCAGAGATTTCTTCATGAAGACTGGAATGTGCTTATATAATATTTTATATATTATTTTAGGCTCCTGCTACTCAAATGTAGGCAAACACTTAACCTCTTATTCACCATCATTAGACGAACCATGGAATTGCTGTAGCAGACATCAAGTCAGGTGGATCTAAACCAGCTTCTGTTTTTCCTGCCTGGAAGGTTCATCCTTCATCATTTTCCTGGCAAGTGTGGCTACCAAGAGCAGGTTTCCCAGGCCAGGAGTGTTTAGTGGGAGCATTGATTGTGAACCACACCAGTGAAAAGTGCTGGGCTAGGCGTAGTGAGGGCTCTTCTGCGTGGGAGGGATCAGGAAGGGGGTGATGTGAGAGGCTCAATCTCTGCAAAAGCAGGGGTAGGACAGCAGTAGGAACGCTGGGCAGAGCTGCTGAAAAGGAGAGAGCAACCTGCTGCACTAAATCACATCTCCCCTGGGGACACAGCTCCATAGTTAGCATCCTCAAATGGCATTCCTTTATTACGGCATCATTGTGCACAGTCCTCTAGAGAGGAAGCAAACGGTCTCTAAAACAATCTGCTGGCAGCTCAGGCTGGAGTATTTGAGGTTTTCCAGGGCTCTTTTGCTGTGTCACTCTTCCCTTTAATGTTCCAGCTTGAAGGTTGTTGTTTTTTCTCCATCAAAGTGCGTTAAAGCGCCAGTAAGAGTGCTCCAAGGACAAGGTGGAGAAGGCAGCAGCCCAGGGAGAACAAGAGATACTGCAGAACAGCTTCGTTTCGGTGTAATCTCTTATCTGCATGTGATGCAAAGACAGGGCAGTTTCCACAAGACTTGGAGGCTGCGTGGTGACATGTTTTCTGTCCTTTTATAAAATCCACCACGTTATTTTGATTAGAGCGCTAACGTAACTCCTGGCAGCCTCAAATCTCACTGCTAGCAGCTACTTCCCTCCAAAGGCTGATGTGGTGCTAACAAGCAGGGAGATCTTGGGCGTCCTGTTTACATGGAGCTGGGAAGACAGCGTGTTCCGTGGGAGGCGCCAAGGTAGCGCTGCAGTCGGATATAAGGTGAAAAAACTCCATGTGTGCAGACAGGCTGTGGTGGGGCGTGTTCATTTGTGTTTGGTGGTGTTCAGGAACTCCAGCTGCAACACTGGCATGATGATGTTAAGTTCTTTTATAGCTGAATATGTATCTTTTATATCTATGCATGCATAGCATGTTTGTGTTCGTATATATTTATATTTATATCTGTTCTCTCTCATGGGAAAGTCCACGTCCTGATCATTTGTGCTTGTGATCTTCTCACGTAGCTCTCTGTTCAGCTTTTAGGTGGCAGAGACACGGTGGGGCAGGCAGAGCTGATGGGGCAGCCTGGGGTGTAGCCCAGGATGGACTGGCTGTGACGACGACGTGCCTTAGCCGGAGAGGTCGTTACCATGAAGAGTTCCTGCAGAGCTGGCCTCCACAGGGAACCGCTGAATTCCACATCCTCCACCTTCCATCAGGTCAAACGGTACGGACACACTGGCTGCTCTGCCTGCAGCTGAGGCTTCAGCACTGATTTTAGCCTTCTCCTTGTCCTCTCCTATTGTCTTGTGCTGTCACTCAAACGCTTGCTCGAAATTCTGACTTCCAGGTGGTGTTTAAGGGAAACGTTGTAATGGCTTAAGGGCAGAAATGTTCTTTGACGTTTTTATTTGATAATGACAACTACAGATTCACTGCAGCTGGTAGTGTACTTGTAGAAATCCTTGGGTTTTCTAGCAACAGCTGTAAATTAGTTTGGGAAACATGACTTTGAAGTGAAATTTAATTGGTGAAAGGCTCATCAGAGTAGGCTTTAAAACATGCAGGCAGCTTAAAGCAAGTGGAAATGCTGGCAGTCATTGTTGTGGTTTGTCTTACTATGGACTAAGTAATTAGATTAGTTTAAGCTCAGATTTTGCATTGCTCACTCTCCTGTGTCTCTTATTAAGGAGAAATGCACGATTGATTTCAAACACTTGTGCTTATGTGACAATTAAGTGAACGCCTCTCACTGTGTCTCCCTATAGGAACACCATGCAGAACAACTTGTCCTCATGCAAATGCAAGGACATGCCAGTTTGTTGGAGTTCAAACTACTTCAAAATAAATGTGTATTTTTTAAAAAATTCTTTTTCTGAAACCAAGGCTCTTAAACTTCCTCAGTCTGGAGGAAGAGCGCCAGCTTTTTGGTTTCCAAAGGCTGTGTGGGTTTAAAGCAAACTTTTAACCTTTGTTCTTTGTGGTTGTGTAGACAGCATATACTTGCTATGTTAATCTCATGGTAATTTAGTGCTGGAAAAGACTTCCTGGGTCACCCAGCTCCTTGCTTTCCCAAGCAGGATCTCATAATCCCTTTTGTGAACTTAGTTCAGCCTAAAAACATTTACATCTTTTCTTGCATCTTTTCTTCTCTCCTCCCGTAGATCAAGCCATTACTGAAGATGACAGATCTTGCTGTGCAATTAGGAACCTTCTTTTCATTCCCAGGCTGAACATTCATGATAGTTTATGGACTCATTTGAGTTTCTGTTCCTTTATTTTCCTTCTGCCTAAGGACTGCTGCTTATTTTTGGTGGTTTACCTCTTCTGCATTCTGTAAGAGGGGGTTGTAGCCCTCACCAGTGGTTTTGCTAAGTGGCCCAAGTGTTCTCTAGTAGCTTCTTGAGTAGCAGTTGCTGCTGTTCTCTGTGTGATGCCCCTCAGAATATTCTCAGTCCTGGCTAAAAGTGCGTGCTGTGCTCTGGAGCTGCTCTGGCTGGAGGGCTTTTTACAGCATCACTTCCACTTCTTATTTCATGGATGTCTCTGTGGTGGCCAGTTCATCTCAGTTACTTCCAAAACTTGCTGATGCATCACTGCCTGCATTTCAAAAGCCTCCTCAGTTTCTGTTACTTGGGGCTTTGTGCCTCTGCTGTTTTAGAACTGCCTCTGTTTCTCTGGGTGCAGAATTAGTGCTGAGGTCATTCCTAACAAAGTCAGATGTTCCCAGGGCTGATTCTTGAGGCATGTCTTTGGTTTCCAGGCTGGTATTTTCTTATTCAGCATCACCTGGGGCTGTCTGCTGCTAAGCAAGCTCCTTTGTCTGTTTTCCCATTCCTCTGCCAATCTGTCTTAACCAGTAAATCTCTTTGTGCTCTCTGAAGTCCATGTGAGGAAGATATAGTAGATTGGTCTAAAAAGATGGCTTTTATTTGAGAACCTTGAGGTTAGTCTGGCATATTGAACTATTCCCTCTTCCCCCTTTTTCTCTGTGTCCCATTAATCCTCTTTGCTTGCAAAGCACCTTTATATTGGAGTCAGAATATGAGCCCTGGAGAGGCTGTGATCATTCTCCTTCTCTTTCTCCCCTGCAGTGCCCCCTCCAATGTGCCACATGTTTATTATCTCCTATTGTTGCCTTTCAAGAGGTTTATAAATCCTGTTTCTTGGCCTGCAGTGCATGAGCCTATCTGGTTTGGATTCTAAAACTGGGATGAGCCAATCCTCACAATTTTTATGAACCTCTCTAATCCTCCTCCTGCCAATGCTCTTGTTCAGATTAACGCCTGGGCTTTTGCCCTCATCATCACCCTTACCTCCCCTCTTTAAAAATGGTGCAAGGTCAAATTTGGTATTTTGTGTTGTACTCTTGATCTCTGCCCTGCCCTTGCTTGCAACCCTGTTTCTCTTTTCTCTCACAAACTGAAAAAAAGCCTTTCACTATTTCTTTGTTGTTAAATATCTCTGCAGTGACTTAACAGCACTCCAGGTCTCGTGTTTATTCCTGGACTTTTTGGTCTCTAGGATAGAGGTTTCCAAGTGATGTGGCCTGAAACTTGTGTCTGCTTCTGGTATCTTTCACACACAAGGAACACATCCAGTTGGAGCTGCTTTGAATCTTTTGTTTGGGATGTGTTCTTAATAATGAAAACACCTTCTGACTCCTGGAGGATGCAGTGTGCAGTGAAATCCTCCCCAGCACAGCTGAATTCATGAGCCAGTTTCTTTCAGTCTTGAGTTTCAAAAGGGCAACTTGATAACCTGCCTTCAGCTCTACTTTTGCTTGTTTTTGTTTTGAATGCCGAGTCTGTTACTGATCGTGTGGTCCAAGGTTAATTTCTGCAACCTTTCATGTTCTCATTACACATGCACAAAAATGAAGGCTATAAATAGCACCACTCTGTGTTGGTTCGTCAGCACAAGGAATTTGTTGCTCTGTGATATGAAAAAAAAAGGTCCTCTTCCACTTTATAAATCAGGAAACAAATTAATAAATGTAAAATACTTCCAGAAGGACACTTGTCACTTACCTGTGCTGCTCTGGGCAGCTTTCAGCAGAAGCCCTATAAAGCCAACAGGTTTTGTCTTGCTGTCCCTCTGTGATTTCCCCTCATCCTGTCCCACCACAGCCGCATGTGCCATCCCATCATCTCTGGGCTACACATTTCTGGAGCAGCTGATAACCTTGAATTCCAAATCCTTCAGTTTATTTTGTTCCCTTCTGCTTTGTCATCTCTGTGTCATGTGTGGTGTGGTTGGGAAGCAGGGCTTTGAGTTTCCTGAGCCTCAGCACAGAATTGCTGCTGCATCTCTGCCTTCATGGTGAGTGCTTTTATACAAAAGCTTGGCAAAGCTGTGGCACTTCTTCCTGTACAAAATTGAGGAGGTAGCCAAGGCAGCTGTGCTCTGCTGAAGGGTGGGTGTGTGTTTAGTGTCAAACATCTTCAAAACATTGGTGGGTGGGAGCCCTCAAGGTGGAGTGGTCTGTGTTGGGCTTGGGGGTGCATTCTGTCACCCAAAACCTCTGTGCTGCAGATGCTTTGTGGGATGGATTTTCTGGCTGTGCTGGGTGCAGCTGTATTTGGGTGCTGTCTCCACCAAAATCAGGTTATCTGAGCACCTGATGCAGGTGAACAAGCTGGGGAGGGACCCAGCCTTAGGAGTTTGGTTCTGACACAGTGCCTTTAGCTCCTCAGCTCTGCTGGGCCAGCTCTGCCCCACAGTTTTGGCATTCTTCCACTTGCCCCAGGCTGGCCACTGGAGCAGAGAGCTCTCCTTCAGCAGCCACATGCCTTCTGTTTGCCTTCAAATCCCTCTCTAATCCTTGCTGGCTCTCCCTTTGCTGCAAGAAGCATTTTGGAGGTGTTGGGAGGTGGGTCAGGAGCAGTTGCTGCTCCAAGGGGAGTGGGTTTTCAGGAAATCAGATGCTTCCACAGCTGCCAGAGTCAAACCCACCCCTGCTCTGGAGCTTCCCAGCCCTCCTTTCTGTGAGCTTGGACCTTTGCCATGCTCCAGAACAAACTCCATGAGTGCAGAGCGCCTTCCATCCTGGGACTTTCCCCGGCAGAATCCATGGAATGCCTTTGAAGCAGCTCTCTGTCTGCTTTGCCTTGCCCTGGCAGTGCAAAGGGGATGGAAATGGCAGTGGAGATGGAGCCCAAAGGACCCACCAAGCCCTTCCAGAAATAACAAGTGGTTGACTGTGGTTAACTCCCACTCAGTGCTTAGTCCTTGCTAATTGTCAGTGTCCTTTATGGACAGAGAGCTGGGATGCCAGGGAAGAAGAATGCTTTGCCAGAGGTGTGGGGTTTTTATTGTTGTTGATTTTTTTCCTCCCTTTTTTTTTTTTTTTTTGGCTTCTGCCTTGTGTTAGTATGTCCTGAGGGGTTTTTCAGAGTTGTAGTTGGCACTGGGTGTGCAGTCAGCAACGTGAGCAGCTTTTGTCGACTGGAATTGGTGTTTACAAGGAGAAATCCGTAGGAAACTTGGGGGTTTTGATGGAAATTTTCCCCCTAATAAAACCTTCCGGTGCTTTGCCCAGAAAATTTGCAGTGTGAATATGCTGTTTGTGAAGATCAGGCTTTTTTGTCCTTGTTGTTCTTGCTGGCCAGAGGAAATATTTTGGCTTCACAGGGCACCATCAGAGTCCCTGAGCTGGGAGCTGCAAGGGGAATTAAGGCTCTCTGTGGACCTTGCAAAGGAGTTGTGAAAACTGAGTCTTTTCTAACAGTTCTGCCTCCAACTCTGGAGTTTCCACTAAAGCAAATACATTATTGTTTTAGGCTGCTGTGATTTAGAACATACATAAACAGAAAAGGATGCTGGAAGATTCTGGCCAGCTTGGCAAATAGAATCATGGAATGATTTGGGTTGGAAAAGACCTTAAAGGCCATCTCATTCCAACCCATTGCCATAGGCAGGGACACCTCCCACTAGACCAGGTTGCTTCAAATCCCATCCAGCCTGGATTTGGACACTTTCAGTAATGGGGAGTCCACCAATGGGTTTGGGGTCTTCCCTTGGGTGGGGAGAGGAGGGGTGTGTGATTGTCTGAGCTCATATAAAGGAATATATTTCTGTATCAACAATGTGTAGTAACCAGCTTGATAAAACTGCAGTGGAAACAAGCTGTAGTTACAACTTGCAAAAACAGCAGTCTCATTCCAGCAGTGCAAATATCCTGTTTTGCAGACACGGCTGATTAGAAATAGAAAAACTGGCCCCTTTATTTCATCAGCTTAAGGATGGAATAACAGTATAAAGGCAGCACTGCTCGTTGTTTCAGTGCTGATCATTCCTGGCAGAATTCTCTCTTATCAGCAATTTAAAACCGCACATTTGGGATTGAAAACCTTTTATGTTTGCTCCCGTGGACTTCTGAAGAGTCGTTGTCTCTAAAGATAAAATTAGAGAGCTTGATAACTTAAAGGGTGGAGGAAAGCAAACAGAATTATTCTGGAGTGAAGTGTCATAGGGAATATGTGACTTCACCTTTTAACAACTATTTTTGGTGGTTTTAAATATTTAAAAGCTTACCTGCAGCTGCCACAGCTCTCTGCTTGCCAGTGCTGAGAAACAGGGGAGTCTGTGGGTGGGGACTGGGCTCTGGTTCATCTTCAAAGCAATTTCTGCTGGCAAGCCTTGTTCTAATTGTAGGGGCTAGAGATGAAATGTGCTGCTGATGTGCAGGGAAGAGGCTGTGATTGCCTATAAGTTCATTCTCAATGTCCACAGCAAAGGGCACGTGAGGTGGGGCTTGTTTTTTCCAAGTGACACTTTCAGGTAAGGCCCATTGCTAAGATGGCTTTTAAAATGAAAGTTCTCTTCCCTGCTGCTGGAAAACTCTGAGGCAGGTGGCAGCTGGTCTTGTGGAGTTTGCAGAGCTCTTTATAGCTGTCTGAAGTTATTAGATGAAGGTTTTCTTTAAATCTGGATCCATTAAAACATGTGCAATGAACTGAATGCTGAATTCAAATGAGGCAATTATTCTGGCAGTAAAACTTCTGACTAAGGCATAATTTTGTTATGTAAATTATAACTTTTCAACCTTAAATGGTGTTGTTGGCTTAGCCAGGGACTAACTGAAACATAGGAAATATAACCTTAAACAAGAAATCTGTAGTAGGTGAGGCAGAACTTTACCCTTTGTCTTTCTCCATAGACCAGAGATAGCTGGGAGCAGCTGAACCAACTCTGCTGGCTGAACATGTCCTCTGAGCCTGTTGGGGTAACCAGTTTGGTTCTGGTTTTATTCATGTAATACCTGGTCTCACCTCCATTTGCAGCTTCTCTTAATGAAGGGTGTTGAGCTGATTGTCCTGCTGGATTCCTGAAAACTGCTTGAAGAAAGCCTTTTCAAAACAAGCTCAGCTCATCTTTCAAACACCTTGGCACAAAACTCATGAATGAAATTTGATCTTCTGCTCCTGGCTCAGGAGATTTCAGCATGCAAAGTCGTGTTTTAATTGTATTCACCTCTTCTCCCCAGGGTACAGTGGTGAGCAGCCACTGGAGCCTTTCTCTCCCTAGTCTGGGAAATGTCCTTCTGGAAGGGAAGGGAGGGGAAGGCTGCAGGCACTGTTCTCTGCAGCAGTTTGCTGCAGTGCTTCACCTGCTGCTCTTCTGGCCACCTCAGTGGCCTGACCCTGCTTCACTGTGAAGTACAACACAGTGAGGCAGCCCCTGTGAAAAATGAGACCACAGCAAACTCCAGCAGCCCTGATTTCCCATTCTCCTCTCCGTGCATCTATTTCAACGCCCCGAAGTTCTATTTTTATGAGATTATTTTAGTTTTTAGCATCCGACTGAGGAGGCAAACAAAGGAGCTCAGTTGCATTTTGCAGAGGAGACTAAACTGGGAGGTGACCCAATTCCAACGAGCTGGAATTGGCACACAGGAGGCACAGGGACAGAATTAACCCAGGGGCTGGGTGGGTGTGTCTGCAGCACTGGGATCTCTTACCCCACTGTCTCTAGGTGAGTGCAGGTGATTTTGGCATTATCTGCTTGCAAGAGCCCAGGTGATGGTCTCCCTAAAAAAATCCAGAGGGAAGGAACATGACATCCACCTTTCCATCAGTTGCTTCCTGGCCTTCAAAGCCCTGCTTGGACCAGTGAGGTGTAGAAAGGTAAATTAAGCCTTTCCTCTTGATGTACCTCCCCAAAATCTCTGTGCCTGCCCTCCCTTGTCACTAGAGCCAAAGGAGGAACCAGAGAAAGCAGCACAGCTACTTCTAGTCCTGAAGGCTTCCTCTGCTTGGGCAGCATCACTTACAAATCTGTTGGACTTTATAGACCAAGAAATTGAGGTTTTTTGTTCAAAGCTGGTTTTAGGCTAGAAACTTATGAAGTTGCCATACTTAAACAGCTCTCTTAGTGTTGGCTCTCAAGGGGAATATGTTCAGTGCTTGAATGTGTCTGTGTCAGCTCATGATGAACGTGACATTGAACCTGCTGCTCTTCAGCTCTCAAGCACAGACCATCCCTGAAGTGGAGGGCTTCGAGTGCAACAACTCAAAGATTACCATGGAAGCATAACCTGTGGTTAGTTCTGTAATGTGCTTGTGTGATACTCCTGGGAGAAGAGCCTGGATCTCCTGGTGGCTGCATCCTGTGTGGAGTGCCTTGGGCTCTGGCGTTCCTGAGCTTTGAATGGAAGGTGACTGTGGAGGTGTGGCAGAACAGAGGAGTCTGGAGCTGCTGCTGCAGTGTCAGCAGCATCCGAGGGGTTCTTCCCAGCTCTGGAATTCCTGAGTGTAAAATCCCATCCTTAAGAGTGGTGTCCTCAGCTGGATGTCCTGCTGCTGTCACTTTGTGGGGGGCATTAATGTATAACATAAGGACCCTTATGGGAAAGTCACCAAATTTGCCATTATCAATAGGCTAAAGGAAAGGTTTGTTGCCCAGGGAAGCTGTGGCTGCTTCATTCCTGGAAGTGTCCAAGGATGGGTTGGATTGGACTTGGAGCAACCTGAGATAGTGGAAGGTGTCCTGCCCATGGAAGGAAGTGGAACAAAATGAGCTTTAAGGTCCCTTCCAGCCCAAACCACTGTGTGATTTTGGGTGATAGTAGGAGATTAGATATCCCTTGGGATCTCTGATTAATATAATTACTTTTGCTAATTTCCCTTTTGAGCTTTAACCACATTTTATCTACTGAAAAGAGTGTGTGTGGTAGCTGATGTCCAGATAAAGCCTGTGACCCATGTGTGCCTTGCAGCTGGATTAAGGAATGCACGGGCAGAAGGATGGCTCTAGCTCAAGAATGAACCACTGCCTTTGTTTTCACAACTGATACAACTTAAACCGTAGAATTTCTCCTTGCAACTGCTGGAAACAGATTTCTCTAACGGGAAGTTCTCTCCTACTGCAGGAAGTTCTTCAAGGGTGGATATTGCAGCCTTGGTGGCTCTTTTCCTTTCTCATGTGGTTCCTCTTGAGGTGTGGGCTGGTGCCTGCTCTGGGCCACCTTCTCTATTTCCAGACAGGCATATTTTGCAGCTATAACTTCTTCCCTCTCTGTTTTTCCAGGGTTTCTGGTATGCACTTAAAGCCATATCTCAAGTTACAGAAGAAAGAGCGATCCCCAGAAATAAGCCAGGATTCCCTGCGAGGCCACCAGGGACCAGCACAAGGAGAAAAATACACCAACTGCACCAAACTGAGCGTTTTCCCAAAACCCTCCCTCGTGACTCCATCTCAAAAGTTCCTGGGGATTATTTATCCAAATACTATGTGCAATATGAACGGGAAAGGCCCGGCGGACGCTCCAAGTGCAAGAGAAAAGAAGAACTCCCTGTCTGCCACGATCCACCAGGGAGAAGAAGGGGAAGGGCCGCTGGATGTCTGGGCTGTGGTGAAACCTGGCAACACCAAGGAGAAAATCGCCTTCTTCGCAGCCCAGCAGTGCGGCGGCGGCACCCGCACGGGCTCCATGAAAATCAAGAGCACGTGGGACATCGACGGGAGAACGGCCAAACGCAGGAAAAAATCAGTGGATCTTAAAAAAGCCAAAATCCAACTGGAAAGGATGAGGGAGGCCAACGCCAGGTGCTCCCAGCCGGAGCCTTTCGCCTGCGGCATCGAGCACTGCTCGGTGCACTTCGGGAGCGACGGCGGCGAGGGCGCGCTGCCGGGCCGCTCGCTGTCGGTCATCGAGATGGTGGCTTTCCTGGAGCAGCGGGCCAGCGCCCTGCTGGTGGACTGTGCCAAATCCTGCACGGCCGCCTCGGCCACCAGGCTGAGCTCCCAGCCCAAGGCTGCCCCGCACAGCTCCGAGCCCTTCTCGCCAGCCGGGGCATGTGAGGTGCCAGCAGAGCCGCAGGGCGAGCCCGTGCGCGTGCTGGACATGGTGGCCAGGCTGGAGTCCGAGTGCCTGAGGCGGCAGAGCGAGCAGAGGGAGCCCGGGAGCCTCTCCCGCAACAACAGCTTCCGCAGGAACGTCGGCAGGGTGCTCCTGGCCAGCGGCACCCAGCCCGAGGGAGACACCCAGAAGGGGGTCCCGGCTCAGGGGCACGGCCTGGGGAAGGCAGGGGTGGCGGAGGCGGGGTACGGAGGTCGCTGTGGCTCTCTGGGTGACACCCTGTGGGACGGCGGCGCCTCTGCCCGGCAGCCGTTTCCTTCGGGGCTGGATAGCCGGGTGGGGAATGTGAATTCGGGACTTGCCCACGCGGTGTTGGCGATGGCGGCTGGCAGGAATGACACTGAAACACGGATTGAGCCTCCCAGGGCTCTGCTGTCCCCGTGTCCCGCTGCTGCCAGGCTGCCACCGGATCCCTTGCAGGGCAAGAACACGACCGTTGATTGTACATCGAAAGAGCCTGTCATTTTCCCAAAGCATCCTGCTAGGAAGGAGCCCTTGTGCATCAGTATATCAGTCACCAAGACAGAGGAAGGGTGCAGGAAGGAGAAGCTCTCCAGTTCTGGTGAGGAGTCACTCCCAGGGAGGCTGTTTTTCCTCCAGGGTGAGCAGCCTGCTGCTCAGGAGCAACAGCCACAGCGGGAGGGTACCCAGGAGAAGCCAGAGGAATTAGCCCAAAACGAGGATGAGGATGCTCTGGCATCTGGTAGATCGTGTGTCAGAAGCAGTGTCCCTACAGAGCCATCAGCCCTTTCTGTCCCTCCCACAGAAGGGGCTTTGCAAGTACTTGACGCTTCCTGCCTAAAGCGGCAGGTTTCACATGACTTTCTGGAGACCAGGTTTAAAATCCAGCAGCTTTTGGAGCCTCAGCAGTACATGGCCTTCTTGCCTCACCACATCATCGTGAAGATCTTTGGGTTGCTTCCCACCAGGAGCCTGGTTGCCCTAAAATGCACTTGCTACTACTTCAAATTCATCATTGAGTACTACAACATCAGGCCGGCGGACTCGCGCTGGGTGCGCGACCCTCGCTACCGGGAAGACCCTTGCAAGCAGTGCAAGAAGAAATACGTGAAGGGGGACGTGTCCCTGTGCCGGTGGCACCCCAAGCCCTACTGCCAGGCCCTGCCCTACGGGCCTGGCTACTGGATGTGCTGTCACCGCTCCCAGAAGGGCATCCCGGGCTGTAAGTTGGGTCTCCACGACAATCACTGGGTCCCTGCCTGCCACAGCTTTAACCGCGCCCTCCACAAGAAAACCCGAGGAGCGGGAGCAGAGGTGGAAGAGGAATATTAGTGCACAAACACTTTCCTGCAAGATTGTTTGGGAGAGGAGGAGGAGGAGGAGGAGATTCTCATGCCTTGTGCTGTTTACAGTGTATATAATTGTCGTGATTTTTTTTTTTTTCCCCACAGGGCTATGAAACTGCACATACTCAAACACAAGAGCCTTTACCTTTTAGATTAAAAGAGAGCTTTTAGTCCATCTCTGTAAATAACACTATAAAAACTAATTGTACATACAGAGTCTACAGCTGGCTGAACAAGGTAACCCCTACAATGCAGCTATCCCAGTGTTGCGGCTATAGGTGTGTGTGTTTTTAAGTGTCTTGTTTCAAAATCTGTATATCCTGTATAATATATGAATGTTTCTGAGAAGAAACTCTAAATAGGTAAAGGTCAACTTGTTTAAAGAAGCTGCAGACAACTTAACTGGACAACCTGAAACTTAGACTATAGAACAGATCCATTATAGTAGCGTGGCAGTGGATTAAAAAAGAAAAAGAGGAATATTATTGTATGGTCAGAATATAAAAAAAACGTTCTTGTCTACCTTACCCATGTTGTCTGGTTGGGTTTGTTTTTTTTTACATCAATAAAATGTGCATTCTAGATCTGCCTTACCAGACTTTATCTTGTAAGACTTTTGCCCCAAAATAAAAATGCTGTAAAACATGTGGCAGAAACTTGGTGCTGTGCTGTAGTTCAGACATGCAATGTGCTTTCTCTAGGAAACCTGTCCTCCTACTAACAAAGGAACAAAAACCCCCCAAATCTCTTGGAGAACTCCCTGCTGTAAGATTCCAGCTTTTCCTTTCCTTCCTGCCAGCCCTGTGTGCAGCACAGGCTGCTTTCATCGGGGATTCTGGTGCTAGGTGTGCAAAGCTTGCAAGAACCAGCCACTTTCTGGTCCTCCTGCTCCCTGGCTGCTCGAGGATGGAGCGTGGCTCCAGCAGGATGAGTGTGGAGTTGTCTTGGCTCTGTGACGTGCTGGAAGCTTTCCTATCTGCTCTGCATGGAATTTTTCCCTTGCAAGAAGACTCCTTGCAGTGTTTGCTCTGCTGCAGCCCCTGGCCTCTCCCAGGGCCGTGGCTTGGTGCTTCCCAGGGGAACTGTAGAGGTTTGTGTCGGATGAACAGAGATTCCTCACGCTCAGAACAGGATGGCAGAATTTCCCTGGATCCTTCCCTGTCCTGCAGTGCTGGGAGCCAGAGCTCAGCCTCCTGTTCCAGCCCTCGCAGGGTGGATGGTTTGGAAGCCTGGGAATGGAGCCTGGCCAGTGCAGCAGCCGTGTTCCAGGGAGCCCAGCAGAGCGTGGCAGCCGTGCCTTTGCCCTGCCCCTGTCCCTTCTCTGCCCACACCTGGTGCTGTTGCTGTTCCTCTGCTCCTCCTCAGGCCATGGATGGACTCCTGACTCTCACCATTCCAAATCTCTGAGCTGGTGCAACAAGAGCTGGTGCCACCTTCCCATGGGGCTCACCCCGGGCCTTCCTCCACCCTGCAAATCCCACGGAGCTGCTGGAAAGGGCAGGGATGGGGTGTCCCTGCACCTGGTTCATCCTCTTCTGTCCTTTGCTGCTGGATCAGCAAGCTGTGGAGAACTGCTGGCTGTGGGGGCCAGGCTGAGCCACCCACCTCCACCTGCCCTGGCCTTGCAGGGAGTGACACACCTGATTCCAGAGCATGAGGAGGACAAAAGGGTTTGAAGGCTTTTGTTCTTTCCTTTAACAGTGGGAGAAGGAAAATCAAGTCCTGACAGCCTGAAATGTGGGTTTGGTGAGCTCAGGCTTTTCAGGGAAGTTGAAAGGATGTGCTGGTTTTCTGCTTTGCTTTCACCTGCTCCTGCCACCCACCGGGTGTCACCCGCCCCTCCTGGAGCTGCTCAGCCTCCCCGCGCTGCAGACATGATGACAACCAGGAGGAATGAAATTAGGAATCTAAAAGAAGGGTGTGGCTGCCTTGTAACCAGCTGGGAAGAGGGAGAGGAAAAGTGGGATCCCTCCTTAACCCCTGACTTCATCCCCTAAGGGGGCTCAGCCTTCACCCAGACTTCCATCTGCTTCCTTGGCTCTGCCTGGACCAGCAGGAAAACAACCTCCAGGCTGTTGTTTTGCCAAAGCCATTGGCATCAAAAGCCTTCAGCTTAATTCTGATTAGGGGAAAAGGGAAAGAAGCTGCTTTCCTGCCCCCCCTCCCAAGACTCTGGAAAACTTGAGGCTGACAGCAGCGAGGAAAGTCCCTGCGAGGCTGGAACGGAGTGGCAGAGGAAAATATTTTGTAATTAGATAAGGGGCCAGTGAGGTCATTTTATTTGGAACAGGGTATGAGATTTTGGTCACTTCTGTTGAACAAGGGGGAAAATGAGGATAAAATAATATCATGAGGCTATTTTGTTGTTGGAGCAGGTAAAGCCAGAGGACAACTTGCTGTCTCCTGTACCCCATCCCTGCCCTCCCCCCAGGCTGGCTGGGGAGCGTGGGCTGGTTTATACATCATTTATTACATTGTCTGCTGGAACTGTCCCTCCTGCACAGCATTGCTGTTAAAAATTGTTTCACAGAGCAAGCTCCTGCAGCATTGGTTCTGAGTGTTGCCATGCTGAGCTGCCTGCAGGCTTTTTTTTTTCCTGTAACATTGTAAAATGCAGATTTCTGTTTCCTTAAGGGATGGTTCAGGGAGAGGCCAAGGTCTGATGAATGTTAGGGGTTTTGGGTTTTTTTTCCTAAGAAGCAATTGTTAAAAAAAAAATAAAATCCAGTGTCGGATTTACAAAATTCAGTGTTTAGAACTGAGGATGAAGGACTGCACCATGTGCTTGACTTTCCTGCCTGGGAGCATTTGGAGTGTCTGGACTGAATTTCCAGATAGGCCTGTGAAGAAGTTGTAATAACATTTCCATTGTCCATAAACTTCCAGTTTTCATCAAGCTCTGGGGCTCTCCTGGCATGGACAGCACTGAGAGAACTGCCTGTGGCTGAGCCTTGTGGTTGGGCTCTTGCTCCATCCTGGCTGTTTCTGCAGCTGATTTTCCCTTTGCTGGGCCCTGTTCCCTGTGGAGAAATCCTGGGATGCTGCAGCAGAGCTGAGTTCCTTGTGTGGGACCCCGGTCCCTCCCTGCACTGCCCCTGGAGCTGTTGGAAAAGCCACGGGAAAGCTCCCAGGGCTGGAGCCCCTCTGCTCTGGAGGCAGGCTGGGAGAGCTGGGAATGTTCCCCTGGAGAGGAGAAGCTCCAGGGAGGGCTTGAAGGGGCTCCAGGAGAGCTGGAGAGGGACTGGGGACAAGGGATGGAGGGACAGGACACAGGGAATGGCAGAGGGCAGGGATGGATGGGAGATTGGGAAAAAAATTCTTCCTTGTGAAGGTGGTGAGGCCCTGGCACAGGTGCCCAGAGAAGCTGTGGCTGTTCCATCCCTGGAAGTGTCCAAGGCCAGGCTAGACAAGGGTTGGAGCAACCTGGGATAGTGGAAGGTGTCCCTGCCCATGGCAGGAGGTAGAACGAGGTGATCTTTAAGGTCTCTTCCAACCCAAACCATTCTAGGATTTCACACCTGTACAAAACTGCACTGACAGACCCAACCTGAGGCTTGGCTGCCATTTCTTGTGTGGTGGGAATGGAGCTGAAGCCTCACCTGGGGCTGTTTCCCCTTCCCACCTGCCTTTGGCTGGTCCAGGCAGTGCTGGTGTGGGGACAGCATCATCAGCTGCTCTCCTGCCACAAACCAGGGTGGGCAGATGACAAAAGCTGCTGGTCCTGCCGAAGCAGAAGTGGCCTGAGCATTGTGGGCACGAGCTGAGGCATCCGTCCTCCCCATCTGGTATGTCACAAAAAATGGAGTGAGAGGGGTTGTTTCTCCTCCACTGTCCAGCAGCCTGAGCACCAGGGCCCGTGGGCACAGCCTGCTTGGCCCTTTCCCATCCCCATCCCCCTGACACTGCTTCACTTGAGTAACTCCATCCTTCAAAAGACACCTTCCTGCATCCTGAAATGAGCTTTTAACGAGGAGCCTCTGCATGCAGAAGGAATCCACCACCTCCAGAAACATCCCCAGCACAGGAGCAGCCCCAAGCCAGGCTCACCCAAGGGGTTTATCAGTTTACATGTACACAGAGGGATGTGTGTGTGTGTGTGTGTGTGTGTGTGTGTGTGCTGTGCCAGACTCCACCCCCTGCTCCCATGGAGATGCAGTTATTTTATGTAAGAGTATTTTTTTAGAATGGGTATTGCTGATTCCACCGCTGTACGACTGATTGCACTGTAACAGGTCTGGTCCCTGTGATGCTTTGAAGGCTGGAAATCCTTGTGTACTTTGCCCAGCACGGTGAAAAACAAACCACACCGAAGTAACAGTCATAAATATACAACTTTAAAAAAAAAATTACTGTTAAAGATTTATTGCAATAATACAATAAAATTTAGAAGGAAAAAAAAAAAAAACAAAACCAAAAAAAAAAACCAAACCATTTGTGTTTAGTTACATCTTAAGTCCGGAAGTTGCCAGAGAGGGGCCGTGAGTTTCCCCAGGTGAAAAAGCCACCCCGGGTGTCCCACCCGAGACCCTGCACAGGCACCTGATTTTCGGCACAGGGCTGGGCCCCCGAAATCAGGCTCGTCCTTGGCAGCCCAAATTGGCCACCCCAGGTCACTGGTCACGACCACAATTCCGGCCTGAAGTGAAATTCCCGTGTTCATGCTACACAAAAAAGTTTTGTAAACTCTCAGCTGGCTGCCTTGAAATATTTATAATTATGGATATTCCTGCCCTCCCTCACCCCCCCCCCCAAAATAACCTGGGAAACAAATCCTGGTGATTGCACTCGAGGTTTGGACACACACAATTTTTCCTCAGCTACACATGTGCAAAACACTTAAAAAAACCCACCACAACCTTGTGTTCTGTTACAAAAAAAGGTTCCATGAAAAGCCCCACCCTAACCTATTTGAACACCCTCACGGTGCCCTTATGTACTCTCAGAGTATGACACGCTTGCAAATAAATTATTTTGGAAAACATGGATAGGAAGTATATGGCTTAGAAAAGTTATTGTGTTGGATTTTCTTTCCCTAAGTTCAGTGACAGTGCACAAAGCCGAGTCACGGCCTGACCTTCGGGGCTCAAAGCACAAAGGCAGCAATGAAAAAGGGACTGAAATGCCTATGAAAAAACGACAAAAAAAGGTATTTAGATGGCAGTGTCCAGTGCAAAATCCACGGGGAAGCAGAAGGGGCTGGGCTGTGAGCCCAGTTTCCAATACTGGTGTGTGCTGGTTGCTCGGAGCTGTGGGTGATAAAGTGCTGTGAGCCAACAGAGCCCAGAGCCGGGGGTCAGGCTGGGGCACTGACCCCACCAGGCTGCAGCAGCCCAGGGGCCTGGGCTGTTCTCCTGAAACAAACCCAGCTCTTGGAGCAGAGGAGCAGAGGAGCGAGGCTGGCAACGTTGTCTGACAACGTGCGCGGTGCTCGCATGGAGTTAAGGGTCTTTGGTTTAAAAAAAAATCAAAGAGAAAAAGAAAAATTAGAAGAAACTACTGACAACAGATGCCCAGCTCAGGGCTGAAGAGAAGCGGCTGCTGTGGAAAGGTGGGTGGCACACGGGTGTCACTGCCACACCTGGGGACAGGGGCAGCACTGGCCAGGCTGGAGAGGGAGAGAGAAATCCACCACAAAACACCCTGTGAGGTGGCTGGGGAAGGCAGCCTGGAGCTGGGATCGGGCAGGGATGTGGCCTCTGGCACCATGTCTCCACGAACAGTGGCAGAAATCCTCCCTGGTGGAGGCTCTTCCCTTGGCTGGCCCTGTGGGGGAACTGTCCCAGCCCTAAATGTAAACGTTGGAAGCTCTGCTGAGCAAACCACTCGTGGGTGTCCCACCCTGCAAGGCAGAGGAAGAGGAGCAGCCCTTGCTCACCAATTCAGCACCCACTTCCCGGGGTTCCACGAGCCAGCTGTGCCAGGGGAACCAAACCAACTTCTTGGCAGTCAGTAAACAACAAACTCCACCATGAACATACAATAAAATAGGGTTAAAAACACATGTAGTGTGGAGGGTGTGTGACTTCACCAAACTGGCTTGAAATGGGTTTTTTTCTAATGCTAAAAAGTGGCAACATGGTGTGGTAACCGATGGATATTATTGCAACAATGCAATTCTGTATCAGCATCGAATGTGGGTCTAGCAAGAGAATGTCCAGTGTTTCTTTGGTGTATGGTATTAAGAGTACAGAGCCTGTGTGCCTCAGCACAACACAAAACTTCTACACCTACCAGTGGAAACAGCATGAAACAAGCCAGTTTGCTATGGCAAAACTGGGTAAAGATTCACAACCAAATCTAAACCAAGAACAATTTGCTGTGTGAATTCCCTGTCCATGCTGATCATTTGTATTAAAAATATGGCAACAGAGATTAGAAAACATGTTAAAAATGCATAATTTTCATGTCCTGAATGAAAAAAATTTAGAAATACGCATTTTTGCATTATGCAAGACGGATTTAAAACACACACACACAAAGGAAAACCCTGTAAGGAGTTAAGAAAGTGGGAACTGCATTTGCACCACTGTCCAGACCGCGCCCTGAGCAGCCACTCATCCTGATCCAAACACTCCAAAATCTGTTTCTGCTTCAGAAAGTAGAGCTGGAGGTTGCTGGGTCCTTTACCAATCCTGGATGCAGACAGAACCAAGACATGAAGTGCCCTCGCAGAATCCGCCGGGAGCACGGAGCTAATTTACAAAAGGGGCCGTCACAGTCATCTTGGGGAAATAAAAAGGTTTTCTCCGGTTTACAAAACAGAAGTCTGACCTTTCCTTTGTTCCAGGCACTACTTAACTGAATAGGTAAAGGCTGGGGAGGGTGTGTGCCCGCTAGCGGTGCCCGGTGTAGGCTTTGAGCCAGGAGGTGACGGAGGCGGCGGCGGAGGAGATCATCCCGCCCGCGCTGCTGCTGGCGATGGGCTGGGACACCTGGCTGCTCTGGCTCTGCAGCATCTCCACCTGCTGCGAGGGGATGTCACAGAACCTGGGGCTGGGCAGGTTCTCCCAGTCCGTGCCCAGGTCCGTCTCCTCGTCACTCACGTGCTCGTCGCCGCTCTCGTCCGTCTCGCCCGCCGCGCTGGGCTCCACGAACTCCATGGAGTCCTCCAGGTCGGCGCTGATCTCGAAGGGGCCGGACCTGTGGGTGAGGACACGGTGCCATCAGTCCCTCTGTCCTCTCACAGCACCCTGCTCTGCCAGGGCGCTGCAGGGATGAAGTGCCCTGTCTCTGGCAGCTGCAGAGGGAAGTTGGTGTCACCCTCATGGACATAAACAAACACTTGGCACAGGAAGGGACAGGGTTCCAGACCACGGAGCAGGAACGGTGGCAGAGCAATTCTGCTCTGGCAGGGATAGAGAAACACACACAGAGCAGAGAAAGCTGCTGGTGATCACTCAGGGCTCCACTGGTGGGAATCTTGGCTTGATGTGGAGCAGCTTTAATTTCCAACATCAGCCCTGGCCAAGCCAAGAGAGCTCAGCTCTGTCAGGTCTGGCACAACTCATCAGTGCAGACTTCCCACTCTGCCCTGAGCAACACCTTGTCAACCTCTTCCTCACTCTGAGGCTGGCCAGACCCTGGAGACACTCCAAAGCCACCACACAGAATCACAGAGTGGCTCAGGCCACCACAGTGGCTCTGGTCCCGTGTCCCTGCTGCAGCAGGGTCATCCCAGAGCACAGGGCACAGGATTGGGTCCAGTGGCTCTGGAATATCCCCAGTGAGGGAGACTCCACACCCTCTCTGGTGTCTCTTCATGGCTCAGTCACTCACAGGGAAGTTCTTCCTCACGTTCAGGTGGAACCTGTGGGCATCAGTTCCTGCTGGTTCCTCTGGTGCCATTGCTGCCCCCTGGAGCAGAGCCTGGCTCTGAGCCCTTCCTGCAGGCAGGGACAGACTGGGCTGAGGGCCCCTCTCAGCTGGACAGCCACAGCAGGACCACGGGCTGCATCTCCAGGGTCCTGCGGGGTCCCACCTGTGCTGAGACTCGGAGTTTCCTGCTGCCACTGCCTGGTGGGAGAGGCGATTGCATCCTGCCCCATCCCACTGCTTTGGGCTGCCTCTATTCCATGGGAAAAGGCAGATTCCCCACAGCAGGCAGAGTCCCTGACAAGAGTTCACTCCAAGCCACAAAACTGCCCCGTGAACATGAGCAGGAATTTGATGGAATCATGGAATCATTTAGCTTGGAAAAGACTCCCAAGATCACTGAGTCCCACCATTAAACACAGTAACCATTTAACACAGGCAAGAGTTTATCCAGCCTTAGTGGGAGAAGGAGCCTTAAGCAGTGATTTGTCATAGGAAGTATTAATCCAGATAATTAAAGCTTGGTAAAATTATAAGCATATGAAAACAGCAGCATATAAAGGAGATTGTCAGGCAACCACAGGCTCAAATATCTAAAGGAAAACAAAGAGAGCTGGTTGTTGCAGACTTTGCAGCCAGCTGAGAAATTAAAGGCAAACACTCCTCTTTCATAATCTGGAAAGCAATGGGAGCGCTGCCTCCTGGCAAAGCCTTTTGCTTAACAAGGCAACACAAGAAGGAGTCATCAGGGTTGAGGCCAGAAAGGACCATTAGATCATCTCAAGTGACCTCCTCTCCAACAAAGGCCACTGCGTCCCACCCTTCTCCCTGTCCTGAGCCCAGCAACCCCTGCCTGATGACAGCATCCATCCCAGAAACTCATCCAGCCTTGAGAGGATGACAGAAGGAAACAGAATCCCCACCTTCATTCCTGTGGGTAATTAATGTCTCTGCTAAGTGCATGTGCCTCATTTCAACCTGCTGAGACTCTCTGCTCCCAGTGGTGTCTGTAAAGCCATTCAGCAGCCTGGTGGCTATTTTATCCAACTCTCCTGTAACCCTTTCTTTTACTCTCTGCACCCAGCTGATGCATGGGGAGCTCTGTGACACCCTGCACCCTTCAGAGCAGCTGCTTTCCCTTGAGGACACAGCTCTCCATCCTCTATTTCCAGCACTCTATTTCAGGCAAACAGCAGCAAGCACTGATTTTTGTCCAAAATCTTTTACAAAGATGTAGCTCCCCATGTCTGTGGGCTGAATCAGTAGGGATATATCCAGAGAACACAAGGAAGTGGGAACAGGCAGCTCCTCTTAGTGGCACTGCAGGATTTTGAATAAAACCAGATCCGTACAAGAGAACAAAGCAGAAAAGCAGATTTCAGAACATTGCTGTGTTTAAGGGGGGAACAAAACACAGGGACATCAAACAAATATTTGCAGACTGTTTTGGGCAGAAGTGACTTGTGTCTGGGTTATCCCAATGGGGAAATCAGTGTTGTTTGCTTTCTTATATTTAACTTTAAAAAAAAAAGAAATAAATTATTAAACTCTGTGCGTGCATGCCAGAACCGATGTTCTTTTCATCGTGTTCTAAGCTAAGAGAACAGTTGTCTTTAATCTTAATTTACATATAAATTAATATTATTTAAAGGGTCAGATTTGGTCTAGGCAGTTCATTGACTAGAATTATTTTGGGAAAGGTTTGCCTGGGATTCTTTTCAGGGTTTGTGTTACTGGATGCTCTCAGGTATTTGCATGTTGGCAAGGCGTGGGCAGGGTCACACTTGGAGCATGGCAAAGCTGCCTGGCATTTGTGCTGCTGTTCCCTGGAGGGAAGGAGTTCCTGCTCCTGAGTGTAGGGAAAATGAGTCCATCATCAGCTGCAAACCTCCAGCTGAGCCTGCCAGAGGCAGAAGCACAGCAAACACATATCTGTGAAATTTAATTCCCTACTCAGGAGCCCCTTTTTTCTGTCCAGTCTTTACTCCTCCTGGAACTACCCTGATTTTTGTGCTGAGGACTGGTCTATAGGACAGCAAAAGAGAATTTCCCTCACAAGTAACAAGGCAAAGGCATCAATTCCAAAGGGATTCAGCCACAGGAGAGTTAATATTTTGCTTTTCTTACCTGCCCAAGTTCTCGGTGTCTGGGCTGACCAGGTACATGAGGTTCCTGAGGGTATGCAGGGGGTGCAACAGATCTAAATTTACATGCTGACATGGGAAGGGAAAAAAAAAAACATGATCAGGTCCTGAAAGAAACCAGCAGGCACAGCTGATATTTAAAAAGGTATATAAAATATGAAATGTGCATCCCCCATACCTGAGAGAAGCAGAGGTGAAGGATATTAGCATTCAGCTTCTTCACTGCCCGTGTGAACCTGTGTCTGCTGAGATTCTCTCCACAGAATTCACTGTTAAAACACCACACACACAAAAAGACACAAAAGCAAAATGCTGTGAAAATACACTTCCTGGAGGCATCAGCATTCCATGCCCTGGCTTCCTAACAAATCCTGGAGTAAATATCCTCACAGTGAGCACTTGTTCAAAGTCTACAGCCAGTTCTATAGTGCTGAGATTAATATTAGACCTAGCAGGGCTGTGAGCATTTTAACAAGCTCTGCTTGCCCTGGCCTCACCAGTTTCCACAGGACAGGTGGTGTGAACTGTAGGGAACTCAGATCCACCAGAACCAAACTGTTTCAGATCTCCTTCAAAACCTTGCACCATTTCCTGTTCTCAACCTTTTCCTTCTGTGAGGGCTGAACACCCAAACAAAATCATAGAATCACAGAATGGTTTGGGCTGGAAGGGACTTTCAAGATCATCTGGTTCCAACTCCCCAGCCACGGGGTGGGAAAAAAAAGCTGAAACCCTACACAGCTTTTGTGCCCTCACTTTGACAACCATTCTTTTAAAACACTTAAAAGAATCTCAGCAGCACATCTGGGATCCCTGGGAGTCTGACCAGGTCTGCATCTCCTTCTGTGCAGATCCCAGCTGCTCCACACAGACCAAAATTCTAACAGTGCTCTTCATCCCATATGGGGTTTACTCCTAGATGTGCTGCCCATGGGTTTTTATCCCACTGGGAATGACACTGCTGCCAATCCATATTATAGGACTCATCCTACAGCACAGGAGGCAGCAGAGCTGTTCAAGGGCTGCTGGATTGGGCTGGGATTTTCTGAAGCACAGTGGGGTCCAGTGAAATGAAAAGTGCCATTTGTGCACTGCCATATTTAATCTCCCATTTGAGGATGCTGAATATGTCATTTAGAGCTGTTATTTTCAACTGTGATGGCTGTCTCCCTCTCAGGAAGTAAAGAAGGAGGGAGGGACTGTTAACTGTGGTCTAAAATCCTGCTAGCCCTCCCCTCAAATAGCACAGAAATCCACGAGCCACCTGTGTTATCAAAAGCTGTTCCAATCCATGACTTTATTCCTCAAACTAACCTGATCTAAGGTCACTGATTCCCCTGCTGTGTTTTTACTTGCCTGTTGCAGAGCTTCTTGGGAAGATTTACATCAAGTATGAGAGACAAAGTGTTAACGAGCTGAGTTGCATAGCACAAAGCTGCACTGATGGTATGGGCAGGGTTATTATGTTCCATATCTGAAAGAAATAAAAACAACATGAAATCCCTTTTTTAAATGAAGTCTCGGTGGGTGTGTTAATATGTTCCTGGAGTCTACTCTGGAATATGTCATTTCTAAGTATGGAGAACACCCTGAATCTAGCAATCATTTCCAGGGAAATCTGTCAGAAGTTGGAAGAAAATAGTAATTCTTGGAATTCCTGTTAAGATGATGACAATGTGAACTGTGTCAAAACTGTGAATAATTAACTTTCTCTATTTCACTGTGCTGTGCATCCCAGCGAGCATTTCATGAAAAAGAAGATTTCAGAAAAAAAGAAAATCACAGAAGGCTTTGGGTTGGAAGGGACCTTAAAGACCACCTAGCTCCAACTGAGCAGGGAATCTTCTCCTAAAATCTCTATTCTGGCATTTATTTCTGGCTCAGAGAACAAATGGACCAATCTACTACTCAGTGCCTTCTGCACCCAAAGTGTCCCAGCTGCCTAAACCCATGCCTTGCCCCTTACCAGGTCCCTGTGTAGTCTTCTTCTCCTCCACCCAGTTGTAGTAAGCAGAGTAGTCCCCGTTGTTGGGGAGGATGATCCAGGGCCCCGTGATGCTGATGCTGGTGTCGCCGTTGTGGTCGTCACACACCCACCTCCCGGACAGGTAGGTGGTCCTGCGTGCCTCTGCCAGCTTGCTCACAGTGCTGGAGGTCATGGCATTGTCACTCTCTGAGGACACGTCTGCAGGGTCCCTGCAGGACCCAGAAGGGGGTGGAAAGAAGTGGTTGGGAACAGAATCAAACACGCATTGAAGGCATTAAGCCAGGTTTCACTCAGGGCAAAGCACTTGTAGGAACGCTCCTGCAAAAGTTCTCAGTCCCCAAACTACTTTCATTTGTTTCATGTGTTTTTAGTTGGCTATTTTTATAGAATTCAGGAATTTGGGTTGGAAAGGACCTTACAGACCACTTTTGCAAGATTCCTCAGTCCCAAAACTACCGTCATTTTATTGCAAAATCCTAGAAAGGTTTGGGTTGGAAAGGGCTTTACAGTCCATCTCATTCTACCCCTGCCACAGGGGTTTCACTAGACCAGGCTGCTCCAAGCCCTATCTAGTCTGGCTCTAAGTACTTCCAGGGATGAGGAATCCATATTTTAAGGAAGTTTAACACTGGACATGCTGCTCAGATCTCTCAGTGGGGAGATGCAAGCGCCTCCAGATCCTGGACATCTATCTATGGGTGAGAACACAACTCCCCCTCCTCCTCCCCACAGACCCTAAGGCAACCAGACCACCTACCTTAGAGTGACACAACTTCCTTCTGAGTGCCTAAAGCCAAGCAAAATGATCTCAAAAGGACAAGGCTGCCATACCTCATGCTTGTCTTCACCTCTTCCATGGGGAAGATGACCGAGGTCAGCTCCAGGATGTGCGCGCGCCGGAGCTTCGCCAGGTGCTCGTACTGCGTTTTCAGGTCGTAGGTTTTTTTCTCCACCAGGTCTCCCAGCTTCCTGTTGTGCCTCTGGATCTTCTCCTTCTTCTCCTGGTGCCTCTGAGCCCTGCGATAATGCTTCTGGTTCTCCTCTTTAATCCTCAGCAGCCCCTCTGTGTCTGTGAGAACAGCAGCAGATGTTATCCCTTGGAAAAGAAGCTGGGGAGTGCTTGTAGGAAAAGCTTTATTAATATTTATGGAAAACAAGATCTATGGCAGGCTAAAACAGAAAAGCCTGCTAAACTATTAACTTCTTCCAGCTGCTCAGTGGTACAAACTTTTTAACCTCCTCTGAAGATCTCCAAAGAGACTGCAACTGGGATTATTCCTTCCCTATCTTTTACCCAGCTATTTCTGGATTTGGAGCACAAAAGTCAAGATTTCCCAGTTTAATTAAACTCCTGAGGTAATCATCCTGACAGAAATAGCCTGACTGCACACGTTTGCATCGTGCTGGCCAAAAAAAGCCCTGCCCTGCTTGCAGCCAAAATCAAGTGCAGATAGCATCTTCATTCACCATTCCTGGCACCTCTGCTGCTGTTAGTGTGGGTTATTTGGGATTCTCTCATGGATGTGCTCTCACAGCACTTGGATCCCAACAGTGCAGGCTCCTTGTTCCCACAGGGAACACTGGCTATCTCCCTTTCCACTCACAAAATGGGAATTGTGCTCATGGGCTGAAGTGCTGCAACTGCCTGGATTCACTCCACGTGTGAGGCACGCTGAGGCTTGGAAAAATATCCTGCAAGAGCATCTTGAAGCATCCAAGGTTGGGCCTGATGATCTTAGAGGTCTTTTGCAACCTTGATGATCCCATAATCTGCTAATTCAGGTATCAAATAAGTGGCTGCAGTAATGCTCCCACAAACAGAGAGTCAGCCACCTCTGTCTTTTAAAAGCACAGGGAAAGATTTCTTGTGCTCTCCCCAAATACAAGTTTAAAACTCTCCCTGTGCCCTAGTTTGAAGTGTGCCTGCTCCTGCAGACACAGAGGCTGCCTCCCTCTGAACATCAGGAATTATTTCCAGTCATCTGATCTGCTGCAATCCATGGTGTGTCTGGTAGGAAGGAAGATCTGGTATGTGGGAGATGCAAAGTCCCAAATTAAAGGAGGTGAGAAAAGCTCCTCCATGCAGACAAGAACTAATAATCCTCAGGTTTATATAATATAAATAAGTGACCCCTGTTAGAGGAGCAGTAGAAAAATGTACTTTTCTCTGAGCAATGCCAGAACCCCTATGTGTCAGCTGTAATTCCTTTTCCTTTAAGCAGTCCTGTAACATCAACAGAAAATCAATTAACACTTGCAGTCATGTTCCCAAACTCTCCCTTTGCAAAAAGAACAGGAGACAGGACGAGGAGGAAAAGGTCCAGCTGTTCAATTTGCACATTCATGTTTGACTTGAAAGGCTACTTTCTCAGAGTCAACTCCCTTCCCTGCAGGTCCAACAGCAATTATTTGGGAGCAGGGGAGACACTGCACTCACGTTTCCTCTTCATCAGTCCCAGTGCACAGACAACTGTCCTGCCCTCTGCACAGCACCTCTGCTTTATGACCCAGTTCATGAGGTGATTACAAATCTGTCCCCAGGAGTATTTCAGGCCACCACTGTGTCCCACACACCTGCACTGCCTGATAAATGCAAGCCCAGGAACATTGATCCCTGCCCAGAGAGGCCTGCCAGGGATTTGCAAGCCTGTCTCCTTGAACTGTTCTGCATAGAAAAAAGGCAAACACACAGATTTTAAAACATTATTTTAAGCACCACCAATTATTGAGGTCTCCAGGAGAGTCACCTCTAAAAGCAGGAACCCAGTGCTCTAGAAATGTTTTTTATTTCAGAAAATTAAACTATGCCACATCCAAGAGCAGAGAAACAATCTTTTCATACTTTTTAATGTGGACCAAAAGTGACCACGTTGGATCCTGATCTGTTGGCTGCTCACAACTAGAATTAATTTCTGGTCTCTCTCCAAAAGCAACTGAGCTAATAATAGGTTAGTTGGGCAATAGTCAGCTCGGTTTTTAGGTTACATCTAATCAAATTCACTGTGAATCAAGAGAAGTTGCAAAAGTTGCAGATAATAAATTCCACAGAAGAGTGGGAGAATGGAGAACTCCACTCCCTGGTTAGTCCTGACACTCTGCCGCCTTCAGAGCAGAGCATTTTGAGAAGAGGTGACTAATTCCTTGAAGTCACATTGATTTCCTCTTCTCTTTTCTTCACAGGCAAAAGACAAAAAGTCATAATCTAATCTCCATAACAATAACCTTCTACCTACTGAAAAGCTTGTTTTTCTTCAACTTCCTCTTCTCTAAACCAAACATGAATTTTCTCAGCTGTTCCATTTAATTTCCAATACTCAGACTTTCCTCAGATGATTTGTATCTTTCTTAAATTGTTTAAATTGGACACCAGGCTTCCACTGAAACAACAGCAACACCTGGCACAGCAGGATAACTGCTTCCATCTTAAATACAGCACTTGTATTAGTTAACCCAGAAAGAGGCCTGAACCTTTTTGGAGCAGCACAAGATTGATAATTTTTATTTAATTTGCAATTCTCCAGATCCCTTCCTGCCAAATCTCACCACCATCCCCCATTCTGGGTTTATGTTTCTCTTTACAACAATGTGTACCTTGATTTTTTTCCTTTTCAGATGATGCTGTCTATTTATCTACATGATTTTCAGTTTGGTCCTGGTCTCCACAGAAGTCATATCACCCTCCAGCCTGGCTTCCTCCATTCCACCCTCTATTCTACTGAGCTATTATGGGAAATGCTGAGGAGAACTGGGTCAGGAACTGGTTCCTGCTGAGCTCCACCTGTCCCACCTCCTCAGCTTGACCAGTGCCACCACTCTTTGAATGCAGCTTTTCTAACCCTTTGTGATCACCTTGCAGGGGTTACACCCAGAGCAAATTTTGCTTGCTCACTAGACAGTTTGAGGCAGTGCCCAAATCCAAGTTACGTGCAGCTTCTGCTTCATCCTCCACTGCACCACGTGATCCCCAGGGGAGGGGTTGATTTGACATGAATCAAATGACATAAATAACAAAACATGGATTTGACAAGAATGTCACAACCAAGGGATGGCTATTTTTAACCACCTTACCTGTCAGTTACCAGCAAAGCCCCCCTAGGTCTGTGACAGGATGCCTGTGCCATCACTTTGAGGTTCTCCCTTCCTGCACCCTTTGAAAGCAGGAACTGTTTCCAGCTTCCTCACACACCCTTGCTCCCTCACAGACCACTTCAGTTTGCTCCTTGGCTTCTATAAAGCAAACTAATATGTTGCTGTCTGTTTTCTTTCCTTAGCCTGCAGTCCTCTCATGATGTCAAATTTAACCTGGCTAAGCAGCTGATCCCATTTTCTTTGCAGGAAGATGAAGCAAAGGCAGCACTGAATGAATGCTTCAGACTTCTCCACGGAATTATTCGCCCTCTTTCCTGTTAACTAACACACTTTTCTGCTCCCTCACCTTTTCTTTATCATCCATTTATTATTGTTACCACCCATCCTCCTTTTTAATTGAAAGTAATTTTGCATCTCAGCCTTTTTTGATTTTTCACCCCAAGCCCGTGCTAATCCTTTATGACTCTTCTCAGGTTCTGCCTCTGCTTCCACTCTCTGTATGGCTCCTCTTGAATTTCAAGCCATAAAAATATCTCAGATTCAATCAATATACTTCTGAATATGCTTCTTCTACTTCCCTTGCATGTAGGTTGCAAGGAGAGCTGCATATTCTCTTCTGAAAAATGACCCCGCAAATTTAGTGTAAAACAATCTAATGGGTTTCAAAAACTGAAGTTTCTGAATGGAACCTGCACCTTAATTTCAGTGACTCTTGCTCAAGTAGGATTTTAGGATTTTCAGACAGGTGTGGGTTAAAATTCAGCAGTTTCAGGAAAACTGTGACAGCTGCAGAGCTGTTTGCTCCTCTTTATCAAGAGGAAGTGATCAGAAACACTACAGTGAATAAACCCATCTCTAGGGACACAGCCAGAGTCACAGGCTGCTAAGAATTTGCTCTTAAAGCTGTTGCAAAACCATCTCCATCCAGCTGAATAATTTCTGCTGTTTGCTAATTAAAGCCCAAGCATAAAATGGCCAAAATCCACTCAGTGATTTGCCTTCAAGTTGATTTAGAAGCGACGGTTTGGAAATTCACCATTTTTAAAAAAACTAACGCTCAAATTCACCTCAATTGGTTTTTCACTCTAAGGCACAGGGAGTTTTTCCACATCACAAAAGCACAGGCATTACTCACATCTTGTCATTTCATCATTTTCTTTGCAAATGGTCTGTTTCAGCTGCTCAATCCTCATCTTGCAAGACATTATTTTCCATCTCTGAAAAAGAACATTCAGCAACTCTAGGGCATAAATGACTTCAAACACGCTGAACTAATGATTAACAGCAAAGCCAGCAGCTTTAGTGCAAAAGTAGCAGGATGCTCTTGAATGGATCAAACAACTGAATATTTTATACAGTGTTTTGTGCACAGAAGAATGGCACAAACAGAAGGAGTGCTTGGTATAAAGTCAATCAGTAAAGTAAGTTATTGAACAAATATCTAGGGAGAAATGAAGAATTCAGACAGCTTGGAACACTCTGCTGGCAGAGCCCATTTCAGTTTTGCTTACAACAGGCTCTTTGGGAAAGCAGCACAATGCCCTCAAGGTAAACTGTAACTTTAAACGATGAGATCTAGGAATTCAGAGAGTTTAAAAACCATGGGACACTTGGAGCAACTCACCAGCTGATCAGTTATTTCTTTCCCTTCCATGGCCTTCAAAACACTAGAGGAAAAAACATGATTGAAAGTTTTATGACTATCTGGACTTCATCTGTCTCCAGCAACAGTGTGTTAAAAGATACTGTTTCCTTTTATGAGATCTCTTAGCTTTTATATCAATTTAATAAATACAACTTACTGTTTTTGGAATTCTCTCTGTTTTGTTTTAAGATGCATCAGCCTTTCTTTCTTGTCTGAAAACCTGGAAGAGATTAAATTCTTTTATTGATATTTTGCACAATTACAGCACTGTAAGTTGTCTGAAAAAGATAATAAAATTGAAGCTTGGGGATTCTCCAAACCTCAGCTATCTGTCTTGATCTGGGGAAGTTAATGGCTAAATGTGTACAACTCTTGCAGAATTCTAGAGCATGAGTCTCACTGGAATTGCAACAGAACCTCTAAGCTGGAGAAACATCAGAGTGCCAAACTATCAAACAAATAGCAAATTACTGCTATTTCTAGATTTATAGTTTGCAAGATCAGTATTTTGTGTGTTACAAAAAACATGGAGTACTTTAGAAACCTTCAGTCACTGGAGAAATGAATAGTACTATCTCACACAGCCCATGACCCAAATGTCTGCTTCAGCTCTGCTTCACTGGATTCTAGGATATGGGAACTGATCAGAAAGGAATTTTTTCAGGATTCATCACCTTGTGTTTTCACACTTTGAGGATACAGAAGCCACGTTCTGCTTCCCTTATTGTTCCATAATTCATTCTATTTTCCTCTGCAAAATGTAGAATTGACAATTTCATCCTACCAGAGCTGTGATATTTGCAGATGCCCCAGCCCTGGAAGTGTTCAAGGGCAGGCAGGATGGTGCATGAAGGTGCCCCTGCCAATGGCAGAGGTTGGAACTAGATGGTCCTTAAGGTCCCTTCTGACCCAAACCATGTGATTTTATGACTTTACCTTTATTTTATGGATATTTAAGCTTTATTTAGAAAGAACAGTACACTAAGCCTTCACAGGATGACATCTTGGATATCCCTGTCTGTAACTCTGTGGGTTTGATTTCAGGTAAAACTTCAAAATGCTTCACTTTTTTCCTTCAAGTGCTGAAATCTAAAAGCTTGGTGACTACCTTTGGATTCAGAGTGTGTGTAACCACCCTCCAGGATGACATTAGCATTAGAACAACAAAACCACTGGCTGCTGCTTCTGTAGTCAAGCAAAAGAATCTGTTTTCCTTCCAAAACAAACCAAAACCAAATGCAGGTGCTTGGCACAAAAGCCAGAGGCCACACGTGAGCTGGAGGAATGTGGTGCAACTGGAGCCCAGCTGCTCAGCCCAGTGAGTCCCCTCTTCCTGTGTGTCAGGAGTCACCCTGGAAATGACAAAAGGCTCTGCATGAGCCTCCTGTTTACCACAGAGCAGAGCACACCTACTGCACCCCGACCTTTGGCTGCCACCAAAATTCCCCTGGCCCAGGAACACAGAGCTCAGCAGGCACCCAGGGAGAGCACTGGGGTCATTTGCCAATTCTTCATTTCAGAGTTGGGTTCATGGGCACAGACCCTGACTGAACAGAATTGCCCAATTCCTGTCCATCACATCAGCAAAAAGTTGAATGATCTGTCAAAGAATACATGAATAAATGAAGTTCTGACTGTGGAGGGAAGACAGAAATATTTGTGGAAGCCTGTAGAAATTCCAGCTCACCACACGCTTCGGCAGCGATGTCAAACAGCTCCTACCAAATCCTCCAGCAGGTTCCTCCTAAGCAAAAATTTCCAATGCTTTATATAGCTCTGATTTCAGTTGCACTGCATCCTGCAACTCATTTTCCTTTATATATCTTTAGCCTTTCAATTTGGCAAAGAAACAAAACTTGGGATGAATTATTATAGGAACTCCCATAAAATGTAAACTGAGAGGAGAGAACAGCTTGAATTACCCATGAAATGTTTCTCTTTCCTCAAGTCTTATCACATTAAGGTCAGATTTTCTGTGGTTGCCTGGCTTATTTCCACATGTTCATGACTAGAGAGAAGCAATCAGAGAGAGGGGCTTCCTAATCTACAGAGTTGATTAATGCTGAAGGAGTTTAGGGCACCATATTCAATGTAACTCCCCTGTTTGAAAAAAAGGCACTGTTCCTAATCATAGCCCATAGCTTGGAGAAATCAGCCATGCTCAGGAAATCACAATTACACTGTCTTTGGCTTTTGCCATCTGCAGATACACAAAGCAAAGCAATTCAGCAGTCTGGGAAAGACACTGTGAGAGTTTATGCACATGACAGGCTGGAGGACACTCCCAGGAGGAAGAAGAACCTCTGAGCTGAGACGAACATCAAGATGCCAGCTTGGCTTTTGAATACACAACACATTACTCATGAAAAGAAGGATGTCAGTGACTGTTCTGCTGGAGGACTTCTGGACTACTCATCCTTAATTGTAGCTCTCCTTAAGTAATTAATCTTAACAGCTCCTCAGTCTCTCCCCCTCACAGATATGGGGTGTGATTTTTGCCAGACAGATGAAAAACTTCCAGTTTTACTGTTCTAAAAATTAGCTCACAAAATAGTCCCATGAAATCTGAAATAATTAGAACATGAAATTGTTTGTCTTCATATAAGGAAAATTCACAAGAAAATTCTAAAAATAAACCACTCTTGGATACAAGGAGTAATGCTTTGTTTCTTTATATTTAACCAGGAAGATAATGATCCTTTTCCCCCATCTGTAACATCTCAAAAAAGACAAATGGGAGGCCCAAGTGCCCCCAAACACTTCCACATTCTGAATTTCTCACACTGAGCCACTCAGCAAAGCCCTTGTCATGACACTCCTCCAGCAGTGACTGATCTAAAATTAACCCAGGTACTACTAGAAGGCATAAAATAAACAAATAAATAATGATGGCTGTAAACACCAGCTGAGAGGCAGCCCATGAACTGCACCTGTCCCTGCATGGCTCTGCCCTGGTGCTGCCTGGTCACCTTTTCAAACATCTCCCCCTCTCCCAGGGCTCACACCCCAAGAAATTCAGAGACACCCACAAAAAGCAAACAAAGAAAACTGACCTCTTCCCGACTCTTAAATCAGTCATTCCAAATATTAATTAGAGAAGGCAAACACAATGTTTCAGGCATGGTTTAAACATAATCCCATTATCCTCAAAACCCAAGCTTTTTGTCCCTGCACAGTGTTCCTGCAGCCACTGAGGATGTTTAGGTTGTTAACATTGGGTTATTCATACAGGTGTGCTGTTTCTTTAATTCATTAAAAGAAATTTGCCATTTTTAATGAATTGCGCTACTGCAATTAACTCATGGAAAAGTTCTGAACAGCAGGAAAAACAAAGCCTGGGGAAATGGAGTGTGTAGGGAGGCCCCAGGTTAATACAACAGCAGTGACCTCCAGAGATGGAACTGTGATGTCCAGGGGCAGAGGAGGTGTACAATACACCAAATAAACCAAAAAAATTAATACTTGCAGTAAAAAAACCCACAAAGTAAGCATACAGGAGCCTTTCCAGCCACAGACAAATGGGGCAGTGAAAGCTTCTGAGGAGGATGCAGTGACAACTGTCAGACAGAAAAGCTGATCCTGTCTCGTGTGAGAAGATAAAGAAGGTTTTCTCTTACACTGCTGCTTTGGCTAAAGCTGCTTCTTTATGACTTCATTTTTCTGATGGGCAGAGACTTCTTAAGCCTTAGTTAATACAAAACAACAGTGCTTCCACTCTAACAAAGGCTACAATTGAATTTCTATAATTAAACCTGACGCTTAGCCAAAAACTTAAGGCTGAGAAAGAACAGGGGGAAAAAAACCAAACTTGGTTTTATATTCCAGGATCCATATCCAATCTTTTAATAGAATCTGCAGAAAACCCCAAGCAGTCTCACACAGCTACACATTTTCCACCTATTTTAGACAGGCTAAATCTAGTTTGTGGTTCACAACACAGCTTTTTTATATCAAAAAAAGGGAAAGCCATACAGTGATAGAATAAAGTCTGAGTTCTTCAAGCTGACTCACACTGTCTGACAGCATTTCCCCACTCCCGTGGAGGTTGGTGAGTGAAAGGCACCACTGTCCCCTTGTTCCTGGGGACACAAGGAGCCTTTGGAGCGATGACACCGCCACCCCACCACCTTCCCAAAATAGCCCCAGGAATCACTCCCGACAGCTGCTAACCAAGAACACGGTGCCAGCCAAGAGTCAGAGCGGTCCCAGACACGGCCCTGGGGACTTTTGAAGAATCTGGGATGGACGGGCTGTGGACAGCAGCGATGGAGGAGCCACCTGAGTCATTCCACGGGGAAATTTGTTGATGGGCACAGCGCTCATGCTGCTGCCCCAGGGAGAGCAGTGCCCCAAAAGGAGAGAAATGACACCCCAGGAACTCGAGTGGATACTTTTTTAAATCCACATTTATGGGTATACACACAAGAAAATGTTTATTTTCTTTCTTATACTCCTTCCTAACTTTGCTTTACGATTTAGAAAACGACTGTTTCAAGGAGTGCTGATGAAAATAGATAACCTGTTTGAAATAACACCGCACTCTGCCCTGAACTGCCTGCAGCTTCTGTGGCTTCTTCATCCACACGGACGCATCTGCACCTGACCGAGTGAAACTCGGGGTGATTCTTTAATCATTATTATTAAAACGATTATTATTCCAAGGCTCGTACCGAGGGTCCTGCTGTGTCCGTTCCCCCACCCACACCCCGAGACAGCGGGGAAAGGGCACAACCCTGCCCCTCACCCCCAACCCCGAGGCACAGCGACCGCAGCAGGGCACCGAGAGGCCGCCCCGCTCCCCTCAGCGCCGCCGGTACCTCTCAGAGTCTCTCCCGTCGAAGAAGACGAAATCGCCGCTCTGCACGCACTTGGCGCAGGTGAGGCGGCGCCGCGTGGTGTTGCAGAGCGGGCACCGCTCCACCGCCACGTAGAGACCCTCGGCGTCCTCCTCGGCGCCCCTCAGAGCGCCGGGCCCGGCCCCGCTGCCCCCGCCCGGCCCCGCGGGCTGCGGCCGGCGGCCGCTGGGAGCCGCCATGTTGGGGCCGCGGTCACGTGGGCCGCTGTTGCCGGGCAGGGCATTGTGGGAAGGGGCGCTCGCTGAGGGGGAGCGGGGAGGGCGGCGCTCCGCCGGGAAAATCCCGATTTTTAAATAAAAATCGCACCCTTTGCTTTGTGCTGGGGCAAAGGGATCGTCCCTGCCCTGCTCCCACAGCGATGGGGGTGTTGTATTGCGGTTCGCGGGGCTTTACAGCGGGTAGGTGTAGCATAACCAGGCAGTAACGCTGCTGTGGGAAATAACATCCAAATGGCTTTGTCCAAGCGGCAAATACCGATGCACAGGGAGGGTACCACAACCCAGGCTCCACGGTGGAGCGACAGGAGGAGTTAAAGACAGAGGATAAAGTAGGGTTGAGGAGAAAGGACCTTAAAAATCATCCAGTTCCAAGCTCCTGACCTCGAAAGGGACACGGCCACTGTCCCAGGCTGCTCCAAGCCTTGTCCAGCCTGGCCTGGGATATTTCCAGCTGCTCTAGGCATCCTGTGCCAGGGCCTCAGCACCCCCTCTGAGTAAAGAAGTATTTCCTGGTCATTAATACTTCATAATATAAACCCACTCGGAGTTTGAAGCCATTCCTTTTTCTGTCTGTAGGCAATTAGATGAGACAGAGTCCACAGAAGCCAGAATAACTTAATATCCCCATATGCCCCTTCCCAAAAGAAACACCACTGCAACAACACACTGTCCTACCCTTTTTTGCCCTTTATTTGGTTTTATTTTCTTTTTCTTTCTTTTCTTTTTTTAAGAGCAATTCCCAGCCAACATTTCCCCCTTCCCAGTGTTATCAATCACTAAGCAGGAACAGCACCGTGTGGAGGTAGAACCAAGACTGTTGTTTTTAAGACAAGAGTTACCATAGCAAACATTAACCTAATCAGTAGCACAGTGAAAAGGCACAGAGCCCATTTCTTATCTCCGAGGCTTTATCTGTACTTCTAGAGAACACTAATTTTACCACTGAAATCATGTGGGAAGCTCTTAAACAAAATGTGATTTCTTGAAGAGGGCACATCTTAGATAAACTTCCCCCCTCCCCACCCCAACACCTCATAAAAGCAGTGTTTTCACTTACAAAATATTATTCTAACTGAAGTTCATCAGCTGCTGCTACAGCTACAGTGCAAATAAAGTCCAGCCCATGGCTGTGGAAAGTCTCCAATGTTAGAAAGCAAACAGAAAAGTAAGCCTGTGTTTAAGATAGATCTGAGTGTGGAAACCCACAGTTTGACAGAGAAACTGATAACAGCTAAGGCCAGCTTATCATGAGGAAGTGCATAAAGTTTTTTAAACTCTTTTCCAGAGAAGCAGGGAGATATATATAAAACCACTTGTGAGAGACACAGAACAGATACAGAAGGTGAAGCCACACCCTCACTGAATCAGAAATAAACTTTTGTGGCAGCAAGACAGAGCCCAGCAAGACCCTGTTCTGAATTAAGCCGAGTATTTCCAGCAAGGACAAAGGATGATTTTGACCTGGGTTGCACTTAAGTCATCTAAGAGCAACCTCTAGTGGTGTTTCCAGACAGGTACGGCACCTTCAGGAGGGAAGGACACAACAGAGCTGTTCTGGCTCACTTCCAGGGGTTTTCCAGAGCAGCCATGGGATAGGCCTGCGCTGTTCCTGCTCCCAGCACCACTCTGAGCAGGACACCTTCTGAAAATAAAGCCTTCAGTTCAAACCAAGTACAGGAAACCTCACTGGTTCTGCTCCAGAATTACCAAGTGTAGTGCCATTGGCTGAACTTTGGTTAAATAACACAGATAATTAAGTCATGAGCATCCAAGATTTTTTGTGTTTTCCTCAAATCCATTTCTAGCAAAGTTCCAAACCAACATGCTTCTGTCTGCACAAAACTCCCATGGACGTGAGGGAGTAATACAAGTGGGTACCACTTGTTTAAAATCTAACTCATCCCATGTCAAATTAGATAATTTAATAAGTTACACCCCTCCACCCACAGATTTTCTACTCAGGACCTGGAATGTCTTCTCTGTGAAAGAAAATCCTGCACCATCACACACAAGAGTTTATCCAGCCACTGGGATCAGAGTGATTTCAGCACACATCTTCTAAACACCAAAATCAACTCATGCAGGATTCTGTAAGCCATGTTATAGACAATAATGCATGTTGAGCTTAAACATGAAACTACAACACTGCAGGAGCAATTCAGGACACTTAGAGCTGAGGATTCTGATTAAACCAATTTGAAGTGCAGTGTGGATTCACCTGTTCAACAGAGAAAGAGACACATGGCTTCTATTACAAAATATTTTTAAGTGTCACCTTAATATATATTCTATTAAAAGTGCATTCATTTATCAAGTGTTTTAACTTGGCAGAAGTTGTCAGAAGTCAAGTGTATTACAGATAGAATCTGAAAGAAAAGAACATTTCACAAGCTATAGAAAGGCATCAGCATATGTGGCATTCAGAAATGAATAATTTGCATAATAATAATCCACAAATGGGTCCAGGAATGCCCTTGGTTCTGCTCTATGCACAGCAAGACAAGCCCAGGTGTTTTTCTGGATTGCTCTGGGAGCTGTGTCACGATGGTTTCTTGAAACCTCTTAAAATGGGGTAGATGTTCTCAAATGCCTCATAGATTTCAGAACGATCTTTTGCTCCTAAATGGACATTTAAGGAAAAACAAACAAACAAACCATGAATTAACAGTGCTGAGAATATCTGAAGGCAGTTTAAACCCAGTAAGATTACAAACCATGAAGAAATCCAGGAGATTGAAAGCACCTTACTACTAAAGGCAGAATTTCTATCTGCCACCTCAAAGAACAATTCCTAGCTTGTTTAGCTTTAAGACTAGTTTTGTTTAATCTGTGAAACCAAAACAGCAATTTTCTGCTCTTGACAGGTGCAAAATATTGGCTTTGAAGAAGGAAAAAAAAGCAACTGAGCACCACCATGGTGTTATCTGCTTAAGAATAACAGCTCTGCCTGTTCATGAGGTGAGTAGAAAAGTAAAAACAAGAAGTGAAAGGCCTTTATTTCATACTAGGAGTTGTTCCACAGTTTGAGAACTCTCCTCCTCCAGCTCTGAGAAGCAATTTTGATTTTAAGCTGTGTGTTAGAACACCTTTGATTTCAAATCCTTTTCTGTGGTACTGTAAACAAATCTTTAATACCATGTCTTGCACACAAGCTGCATTGCAGCAGGCAGGAACATTCCCTGCCAGCAACACTACTCATGCTGGTCCAACAAATGTCAGCTAGAAGAAAACTGGATTTAAATGAACTAAAAGTGGAATTAAGCCCTGCTTATGTTGAATGTGTAAACCTTTTCTCATGACCTCACTTGGACAGGAATATTTCGTCTGCCTTACCACAACTTTTATTTACAAAAGTAAATTTACCTTCTTGATTACAGAAAAAACCTCTCCTCACATCTCAGCAAATTCAGTTTTGTCATTACAGCTGGGCCCAGGACTCACAGCAGAGGACTGAGTGTACAGCAAGGCCACAAAAATTAGTGTACCCCAAAGAATGCAAGCATCAGTGGAATGGAACTGACCAGTCTGATTTTACTGCACCTAAGAAAATTGTGGACATTGGAGGGGGAAGCATTTAAGGTTTGTCCTGAGTGCCCCATCCTTCAGTTGGCTGAGCTCATTCCTGATTTATGTTTGTGGGAATCTCTGCCTAAGACAAGCACTTCTCTTGCCTTCCCCGTGTCTCAAAGCTGTGTTATAAATATAAATAACACATTCAGAGCCTCTGGGAACAAGCATCATTTACCTTTCAGTACATCTGAATAGAAGCATTTTCATGAGCTTCACCAAAAGGATGTGCCAGGAGCTCAGGAATTCACCTTTTTTGAAAAAGTCACCTGGGATCTGAGGTACAGGTGTCTGCTGAGCACACTGACTCAGCAAGGCTTTTGCCTCACAATTTTTTTGCCAAACAGTCTGGAACAAGCTATTAGATCTCCACCCTTTCCTCTGATAATCCCTACTAAATGTTGTCAGTGAAGCGTTTTAAGAAGTTTGTTTCCTGTCCAAGCAATTTTAAATTGCTTATTGTGAGGTTCCTATTTAAGTGCCTGAGTAGCTGCTGGCATGTCAGCATCCTGTTGGCATCCTCTGCATTGGCACATGGCATCAGGCTTTGAATTAAAAAAAATACTTAACATGGAAATCTGAGACTCTGTATATGAAACAATGTAAGATTCTAGTGCAACAATACTGATGTTATCTGCAGAAAACACAGATAAAACTGCAGCAGCCATTAAAAAGATCCCCAAATGGCTTTACTGTGGCAAAATACTGATTTTTAGTTAATGCTTAATTTAAATGCTCTCTCAGAAAGTGAAGCAGCAGTGGGCTACAGATATAGAGAGGCACCACTTACCAGTCAGTACAACTTTTCCAGACACAAAGATAAGCAGCACTATCCTTGGTTTGACCATCCTATAAACCAGGCCAGGGAATAGTTCAGGTTCATAGCTGTTCAAAGCAAGCAGGTGAGATTAGTAAAATGCAAATGCTGTTTCAGTGTTGTTTGAATGAAGTGCACTGAAATTACAGTAGCAATAGGGTAATTAACCACACTGATTTTATCTGGCTGCCCTGAGAAAGGCAGGTCAGGTTTTGGACATCTTGAAGAGAAACCTGTTAAACCTAGCTGGAGATGGTGGGGGTATCTTAGTGATGACTTTTAAAGATTTGTGAGCCACTTCTTATTTGTCATAGCCTTGGAACCTTTATTGCAATCTTCAAAAAGTCCTCGGGTCATGGAATGGCCTGGCTTGGAAAGGGTCTTAAAAATCACCTCATTCCACCCCCTGCCATGGCAGGGACACCTTCCACTGCTCCAGGTTGCTCCAAGTCCCCTCCAGCCTGGCCTTGGACACTTCCAGGGATCCAGGGGCAGCCACAGCTTCTCTGGGCACCTGTGCCAGGGTCTCCCCACCCTCACAGTAAATCCCTCCTAGTCTGCAAAGAGCCCCTATGAGGAAGCATCCTGTGCAACTAAGGCAAGATA